ATACATATATGTAATATATATAAATATATGAAAAATTGATGTGGGTACTCAAATGAAAGGTCTTGATGAGTGTAATGTCAGGATGCGCTTATATCTTTAAAAATGTCAATAGTTCACAAGACATTCATTAAATTGCACTGTACTTTCTTAAATATTGACATTTTTAAGGATATAAGCTCATCCCGATGTTACACTTATCAAAAGCTTTCATTTGAGTACCCACATGTATTTTTATATATTTTTCATATATACATATATATAAATATATAAAATATATGAAAAATTGATGTGGGTACTCAAATGAAAGGACTCGATGAATATAATATCGGGATGAGCTTATATCTTTAAAAATGTCAATATTTCACAAGGTACAAGGTCATTTCTTAATTATGTATCTAGAGAAAATTTCCAAATGCAGCCTAAATGCTTATCATCATAAATTGACTATCAGTGAGAATGATATGAAACCTTGAAAAGGCACAAATTCAAGGTAAGACATTTGTAATGAGACTAAATTTCACTAAAAAAAACCGATTTTATCATATGACTATCCTGGAGACAAAATTTTTCTCATTCTCTTAATTATATAGATAATAAATTCCAAAAATATAATGATAAAATTATTTCTTTTGAATAGAAAATTTTTCATAAAATGTAATTTAAAATTCTATGTATTGATCACTGTATAAATTTTTCTATATATGTGTGTATCGGCAATTTTTTTCATCATGAATATATGAGTTACATAACAATCCGTTTATTAAATCTAGGCAATCAATCGTTCGGAAATAAATAGAGTAAAATCAGAAAGTCGCTAAGAGTAAATGAACTAAAGTTAATAAACTAAAAAACGTATATCAAAGTAATAAAAATTTCAGTGAGAGTTTTATAAATATGAATGCGAGTAAATCAGAAAATGAGGGTTTGTTAAAATGTTGTAGAACAAAAATGGGTCATTCTATTGGAACTCTCATCAATTAATTATTAAAAATGTTCTTCGCTTTAGTTTTTAAACAGTAACTTTTTATTTGCGTACGTACTTCGTTATCCAGAGTAAACTTTTATGTTTACTTTTTCATCAAAGCTAATTCCATTACTATTCGTTCGGAATGCAAAAAAAAGAAAGAAAAAAATGTCTATCTATGCTAATAAAGTCAACAAATTTACTCCGGAATCGTAATAAAGAGTCTATTGAATTTAAATCGGTATTAACTTATCCGAGCTGAAGTACGAAAACATTTTTTATACTTTGTAGATCTATTGATAAACAGGATTAATTTTTTTTCTTATAATGTAACATAAAACTGCAAAAAAAGGATTTTTAATAGAATTCTCGTTTTCCAATAGTAAAAATAAAATGCAATTTTTTTTTACTCTTCTCTTTCGAAGCGAAAAATATCTATATCCAAATAAAAAATTGTATTTACTTCTAAAGTTATTAATAAAAAAAAAAAAAAAGAGATATCCTCCACAAACTTTGCAGTTATAAACTTAAATAGCTTTTAAATTATAAAAAAAACATATTTTCAAGTTTTAGTGCACTAGAAAATGTTATTTAAAAGTTATAACATTTTTTTTTGTTCGCATCTTAAAAAAAAAATTGAGAAGAAGAAATGAAAAACTTTAAAAAGTGAAAAGACAGAATTTCCTAATGTTATCTAATGTTACGGTAAATCTAATAATAAACAAAATAAAATCCAATTTACTTGATGAGCTTAAAGCCAAAAACCTATGGATCGTTATTTTCATTATTAAGTTAGTTTGATTT